GTACGCGGGCCTCTCACTGTTGTGGCCTCTCCTGTTGCAGAGCACAGGCTCCGGATGCGCAGGCTCAGCGGCCATGGCTCACGGGCCCAGCCGCTCCGCGATATGTGGGATCTTCCCGGATCGGGGCACGAACCCGTGTCCCCTGTATCGGCAGGCGGACTCTCAACCACTGCGCCACCAGGGAAGCCCACTTGCTCCATTTTAAATAGCAATTTTGCTGAAGACTGGTTTCATTCTCAACATTGATATCTTGGTCTTTGATCACCGTTTTAAAAACAAAGACCTTTCACTAGGCTTTAGATAAGATATAGTTCCTAGCTCTAAACTCATATTTAAGATCCAAAATTCAAAAGTGAATTTTGCCTTGTGTGAATGCAGAGAAATGAGCCGTGGGTAGTTTGGGGATACAGAGGGGCGTGGGGTTGGCTGAGAGATGACCTTTTCACTCTTAGCATATGAAGAAAGAAGGTGGAGATGCGGGGACAGGATAAACGGGGTGGGGGGGGGTCTCTGTGATCATTTTAAAGCGATTCCTATAGTTTTATTGCGGGACAGCTTCTATAAAGAGTTGCCTGTTGGGAGGGTCAGGGCAGCTCACAATTCACTCCTTCTCTGGTCAGCCCCCCATGGTACACCAAAAGCACCTGAGGGGAGGGAAAGATAATGACAGGGAAGGGACAATGTGTCTGCGATTCAATGGCCATTTCTAGGGTCTGATTCTTTATAAACACAGGGTGCTGAAGGTAAAAGCCAGATTAGTTTTGATTCACTTTTCAGGATCACACGGACACCTCCTCCAGCCACATGGTTCAGAGTGATGGTAAATGCCGGGGAGGGTCTCACAGCCGGGCCTAAGAGCTTTCCAACGTTAATACTTACGATCAAGAGGGACTTCCAGTGCACTAATCATCTGGCACAGGAAGAGTATCAGGGGTGCTCTGCCTGCAGATAAGTGCTTCTTTTTCGGCATCATTATTTTAAGCTGCATTAGCTGAACTCCCGCTGAGCCCCACGAGCTGAATTTCCTTTTCTTCTTTCACAAAAGATGTGTGTGTAACGTTTAAATAAGTCTCATGCAGGAAACTGAAAAAGGATAGGAGAAGAATTATAGTGCACTTTTGAAAAAAGGAGGAAATGAAGACAGGAAGTCGGCAGCACAGAAAATCAGTTCTGTATTATACATGAACTCTAAATGGAACTCTAACTTTTAAATATTTCACTCTGAAGACTGAGAGAATCATTTATTCTAAATCAGATAAAATTAGGTCAGAAGTATTTGTAGGGATGTCAAGCAAAATCTGTCAACTCTGCCACCCTTCTGGTTTTCCTATTTTAAATATCTGCTTTATATTAGAGGCTACCATGTTCCTAATAGATCAGGAAAACTTGGCTTATACATCGGTTAGAAGGTGTGCCTTTGAAGGGGAGGCCTAATGGCTTCTCCTTTCTAGAGATTACCGCTGGGAAAGTTCAGGGCATGGTTGCCAATTTGCTTCAAACCCCAAACACTGATTTACCGGTTGAACCACCAAGAATTCTGGCCTTCTCCATCTCCTACCTAGACCATGGCAACAGCTATGCCTGGGCTCTGAGTTCTAGGTCTTCCTCACTGCAGTCACCCTCCTAAACAGTGCTGATTGGTTTTCCTAAGGGTCTTTGGTTAGATACTGGGAGTAAAGTTCAATATATCCTTAAATAAGTAATACAAAAACTTGAATGACCTGGTCTCAATTTATCCCGCCAACCTCATTTCCCTCTATCGTCATGTAAGTATTCTTTTTTGTCTGATTGTCTGATTCTGCTTTGCTTTCTTGGATCAATCCTTCAATACGCTTTGAATTTTCCTAACTTCTTGCCTTGGTTTATTCTATTCCTTTTACCTGGAATGCTCTCTCCACCCTATTTCCTCAACAATGTCCAATGGGTTTCTTTATAGAGCATTTATTGGGTTGGGCAAAAAGTTCGTTTGGGTTTTTTGTAACATCTTACGGAAAAACCTGAACGAACTTTTTGGCCAACCCAACATGAGCTGATCACTCAAACTAGAAGGCATTTCCCTCCCTGAGAATCTCTGAAATTGCGTTTTATTCATCACATATAGTATACAGGTAGATACAGTGACAGACTTTTTTTGGCGTATGCATACTCTCTCCCCTACTCCTTCAGGCAAAGATTGAGCCTCTCCCATCTTTGTATTCCTCTCCTATCACCTAAGATAGTATGCCTTGCACATGAAAGTGCCAAGAGAACATGAGCACACAGAATACAGACCTCTGTCCTAAAACAGACCTCTACCTGGAATGACGGGTTTAATCACACCTTCTCATTAATAAAGAGAAGTGTGAGTGACCAATGGCTCTCTTGAGAAGGTAGGGGTGTCATTATTATAAACTAAGATTGTTCTTACAGCTTAATTACTGGTGTAATCGTGTATTTTTAAAATGTCCATCTTTCCCACTGAATCGAAAGCCTCGAAGGGTAGGGACGACATCTTTCCTGTTCCCCATTGTGTCCCCAGAGCTCATCACAGTGCCTGGCACATGGTAGGGAGTAAATAAATATTGGTAGAAAAAAGTGAAGGGGGGAAAGGGAAAAGGTGAGGTTGTATTCAGATAGGCACTCTGACCACAGTCTGCCTGAGGCTATATTTATATTTACACTACTTGGTTTAAAAACCAAACTCTTGTCAGTATGGTCAAATTAGTTGGCATATCATGCCTGTGTATGGAAGAGAGCTTAAATGTATAAAAGAAAAATGAAACAATGCTGACAACATGTGTTTTGCTAGCAGCTGAGTTCTGATTTGAACCGGATTATAATTATAGTTGGACATTTCTTGCTAAACAAATACAAAAAAATATGGTAAACATAGACATTATACATATATAAGTATTATTTTGTGAATGAAACATCCATACTGTGTGGTTTCATTTAAGATCCAGGAAATTTGTCTTTCCATATTATAATATATAAACAATCATGACCATTAAACATCGAGAGGCCAGTAGAAAAGCTCTCCCAACCATTTCTAACCAAAATATAAACCAGACTGTCTTTCTGTGCATGCAAAGCAGATCTATACCATTTAATCGAGTTTACTTAGGTCTCTCATGATTTTTTTTGTTGTTGAAACGCTAATTGTGAATTTACACATAAGCTTCAAGGAAAATTAACATAAATGGCACAAATGGCACTAAAACAAGTCAATGTTACATACTACACATACTGAGAGAAAACGACAGAACCAAGCACCAAGAAAACAAAAGGCATACCTGCCTGATTTGTGTGTCAAGCTAACTGAGTTTATTCAATTTAAGTGCCTAGCTTTCTGAACAGATGCCAGAGAACTAAAACACTTTCTAAAAGATGTACTAAGAAATTGTAATGCCCGTAAGATCTTAAGCAACTACATACAATTTCCAAGTTCTTCATTCATTACTTATTTTGCCTGGATGCCTTAACTATTCATCCTTCAGAACAGAGAAAACAATGACACAACGTCGTGTAAAAGAAAGTATCATTCAACCTGCTTTGCCTTGTCAGAATATAGATGTTATAAAATATTCCACATTAAATCACAGTGTTATATAAAGAAAAAAATAAAAATCTTAAGAAAAACTGAAACAACACTTACTTAAAGAGACACGAGTAAATCTTCACAGTGAGAGGAGCTCATGAACTACAGGAAATGAAGATGTGGTCTCTCTTCAGAAGCTGTAAGTTCATTTAAACCAATAGCCACAAAATCATCACCAGTGTAGATTCTGTTTGGGGAGGACAAAGTAATGGCCCAGCCCACCCTCCAAATGCTGCCCATGGAAAATCACAGACTTCTCCTATGAATGCCATCACAGGTGAATAACCCAACACCCAAGGACAGCATTAGGTGCCCGGCACTCAGTCACAGTGCAAATCAAATACAGCTACAGAAAACTGAGCTTTCTCTCTTGAAGAGTGATGGGCTTTGCAAGTCTCACAAAGAAAAACCACTGCTTCTGCCCTCGGAGTACTGATGTCAGCACCCTGCCCTGCCAGGAGCCCACCTGTCTTCTACTTTACCTTGGAAAAATGATGGTCATTCTCTCTTACATGAGAATCGTGAACTAAAACTAAATGGTTAATGCAATTATATTAAAATGAATGAAACCCCCATTTGAAATAGCAGTATCTTGTTTAGTCAAGGCTAGAGGGCATGTTAGCACAATATAGCTTATAATTTTCAAAAAATATTTGCCACAGACATTTTAAAGCATGCTTGAATGAGACAAATGATAGGTTCACCTTCAGAATATAAATCATCCTGATATTTAAAACCACATATATTGTTAAAACAACCCAGAGTAATGATAAACAGGAAAGCCTTTTACTATTTCACTTCATTTCACTCCGTTCAAAGCAACTTTTCATGTATTACCTACAGAATCTCTTAACAGAAGGGAAAAAAAAATCTCCCTCTTTTAGTAAACTTTTTATCATTAGGAAAGAAACGCAATTCAAGATTTCCTTACTTCTTTTGCCTAAAATTCATATTAAACCATACAGCAAATGTTGCCTCACATTTTTACCATATATTTTAAAAGAAAAACCTAAGGTTTTGACAAAGGATTCATATTAAGCCCAAGAAACATAGCTCTCTTGTTGCTTAAGAAGTCCTGTCATTAAGAAAGAAAAGAAAATCTTTGTTTTCCTCAAGTGAAAACTGAAATTATTTGAATAAAAAAAATATAGCAGCTCTCCACTAGAATCAGAAGGCCATGCATTACTTACCACTTCATTCTAGCCTGTCTGTACTTTTCAGCTTCCCAACATGGGTGGTTCAATGTTGATTGCACAGTGTAACACAATCTACTCTCTAAGCCAGTAAACAAAGATGCTTATGTGACTGGATGCCCTTTGGCACACTAATTATCGCTCTGGTGAGCCCTCAGCGGCTGGCCTGAGTGGATAGCTAACTGGAAGTGGCATCATCTTGACTGTGAAAGGCGTTTTTCAGCAATCAACTCGGGATGGTTACTTTTTTTTTTAATTGAGGTATAGTTGATTTACAATGTTGTGTTAGTTTCTGCCGTACAGCAAACTGATTGTTATATATCAATATACCTGTATATGTGTATATATATATTCTTTTCCATTATGGTTTATTACAGGACATTAAATATAGTTCCCTGTGCTATACAATAGGACACTGTTATTTATCTATTTTATACATAGTAGTTTGTATCTGCTAATCCCAAACTCCTAATTTATCCCTCCCCCAACCCCTTTCCCCTTTGGTAACCACAAGTCTGTTCTCTATGTCTATGAATCTGTTTCTGTTTTGTAAATAAGTTCATTTGTGTCATATTTTAGATTCCACATATAAGTGATATTATATATTTGTCTTTCTCTGTCTGACTTACTTCTCTCAGTATGACAGTCTCTGGGTCCATCCATGTTGCTGCAAATGGCATTATTTCACTCTTTTTTACGGCTGAGTAGCATTGGGATGGTTACTTTTTATATTTTGTTAAACATTTACCAAAAGGAATAAGCACACTAATGCCCATTCCTAGCCCGTGCTTGTGCTCGTCAATCACTGGTTTTGAGTCTAAGACTATGGAAGGAAGATTAGAGAGAAATGGACAAACACTTCGTATAATTAACACACGAACAAAGTCACACAAATCTACACAACTCCACTACCAGGAATGCGCCTTAGAAAAAAGGAGTTTGGGATTATGTGACTCTAGAGATTGTAACGATCTCTTCAAATAACAAGGCAAACTTTGTGAAGCAGAGGAACACGTTTCTAATTCCCTCCTAGACCAAAGGGATGTCCCATAATAGAGATTCTACAAGGAATCTGGTAGCTAGAACCTGGAATAGTACTGAAGGAAAGGTGAATAATTAATAGATGTTTTTTAACCAAATAATAAATGACAGAATACATCTTGATAATAGCTCAAATCTCCATTCCTCAGAGCACTCTAACTGATTATGTTACTTGGTATTCATAAAAATCACAGAAAATAGGAAAGCAGGTATTATACCCATTAAACAGATGAGGAAAAAACCAATCATGGTGGCCATTATTCACTGAGACC